TCACGAAGGTGATGTCATGGATAAAGAAGTAACTTATGAATTGCAATGGATGACATCATTCTGGACCACCGAGAGCAATTGGAATGATTTTTTCTGCCTATTATATATTATATAATATTATATTATAAGTGTGGTACATCCCTGAAATAGTAAATACACTAACATTAGTCCAAAACATCATTGGTATCCAGGAAAAAATAACCATTCCAAGAAAAGTTATGACATTGTTAACAAAGTCAAACAGTGGGATGATAAAGGGTTTGGTACAAGATCCAGTGCACATTCTTTGAAAGGATGGTATCATGTGAAATGCCATTTAAGTTACATAAGTTAGTATTAGTTAAAAAATAAAACAATCTTTTATCATGTTTTAACTACTCTTACCTTTACTGTTCGGCTAATTGGATACCAAAAAAGCCATGAAACAAACTTCATCTGCAATACACACCTTGTGTGAATCTCTACCTATTATAATAAACACTCGATACTTATATATCTACATGTTATGTATTTTGACCTAAGTTCCAATTCAAATAGTTTTTTCTTTTTGGTGTATTTTGCATATTTATTTTGCTGACAATCATATACGAAAGACAGTTAATAGGACAAAGACCCAGATTGCTTCTTCTGTAATGGGCTTATTGTGTTCACAGACCATGGAAACTTAATATATTCACTAAGTTATGGTCCATAAAGTGGATTTCGATAAAGGGTAACTTTATTTCCATATTCTGAGAAAAAAGCGCTAATTAATGGTACTTCCGTCGATGGCATCACGCAGATTCTGGTTCTACAATCCTCGAAGACGTAGACCCCCGTCGAGAATCAATTCTCATTTCTAAGATAGCCGCATAAAGCATGGAAATACGTCCACACAGCAGATAAGTCTCAAGTGCTTGACAGCAGCCTATTAGAAGGTAAGACTGAGATGTTTATCAAATTTGTTAAGGAATACCTGTAAGAAACATCCGTTTCACAAGCTTGAAAAAAAATCTGTTCAAAACATCCGCAAAGTGGGTTCTCCTCAATAGATGATCTTGGAACGCTAGATATCGACAGGGTTCATCCGCTCATGAAACCAAAACTTCCCGCCAAATTTGAAAACCATCGCCGGCTAAAAACTACAGCCTCTGTCGCGTTCACAAGGTTTTCGGAAAAGGGGGCGGAGATTAACTCCTCAACAGAAATTCCCGGAACGCTAAAAATCGATTGGATTCACCCTCTCATAAAAACCATCATGTTAGAAACATAAAGCTAATTAAACAATTAATGTACACAATTTGGGAAGCCCTCTGACGTAAGAATTAAGTGTACATTTTAAACCTTTTAGCTGTTGTTACTTTAGCATGATAACAATTTATAAGCTTTCTACGAAATTTAACGTAGTGATGATAAGGTGGGACTATTAATAGTCCGGTGGCTGAAGGGGGGGAATCGACACCCGAGCTGTGAATTTATGAGACCAAGTTTTTCTAGACCAGTTTTTTGCGTAGATTCCGAATCTGGGTGGTGATCAGGCGTTTGAGGGGGCGTTTTCGATATATAGGGGGTCAAATGTCTACAATGGGGGGGGGGGGGAGATGTCATTATGTTGACGTAATATATTAATAAAACATAAATTTCTAAGACTGCCCATCTATAAATAAGTGTTTATGGTGCCCCTGGACAACTGTTTTGATTTGTGGGGAGGTGGGGTGGGGATAGCAGGTGTGTATGTGGGGGGGGGGGTCATTTTGTTGACATAATATATTAATAAAACATAAATTTCTAGGAATGCCCATCTTTAAATAAGTGTTTATGATGCCCCTGGACAACTGTTTTGATTTGTGTGGAGGTGGAGTGGAGGTAGCAGGTGTGCGTGTATGGATGGGTGGGGGGGGGGTACAATTGGCGGGAAGTGAGTTCACGTTGATGATTTTCTTAGAGCTTGGTAAAAACATTACTTTTTAATTCCACTGCACATCTCTAAATATGTGTATACGATTACCATTGTATGGGGGAGGGTAAATGTATTTTGGGGACAGAAACGTTCAAAATTGACCTGAAAAGTGTTTTTTCGAGTTTTCGTTCAGTGCCAATATCGTCATTCAAAATATTAAATTAGAATGGTACTTTTCGAGAGATCTGGAAATGTACATGAAAAACACATGTTTAGATATTAGTTTATTCTTACAATATGTGCGGGATAGATATCTTCTTGATGGCTGATCAACAGCCTGCGTATATCCCTTGGATATGCTTCAGATACCCATTCACATTGTAAATCTTCATTCCAGCCTTGTATCGCAGAGTCATCTTGTTCGATCATTAATTTTGCAACCTGACTCCATATTGCTGCAACATAATTATTGCGTTTAATGTGCAGCAAAAGACTACTAGGGCAAAATGGTAATAAAAAAAGAAAGTTTTGTTATATTTCATCACAATTAAAATTACTCCAGAAGATACTTCTTCTAGTGTCATCTACTGATGTAAGTCGGTTTTCGCCGTACAAGGTACATGTACAAACAATTTTTTCTAAACCAGCAATTACGTCATCAGAAGCATCATTTGTCTATCCCAGCTCTTTAAAAATTGTTAGAAAGTTGGAATTATCTTGAAAAAGAAAGACAGATAGTCAGTACCACTGAAAGCATGTAGGCCGAGATATTCTCGACACGTTCAATACTAATCTTGATTGGATCAAAAAATATCAAGATTAGTATTGAAAGTGTCGAGAATATCCTAGAACTGACAACCAACCACGAGGACACCAAAATATCTTACCTCCTCCTCTTCGCATTGTAAATTAATGGAAGTGCTGAAACAAATTGTATTTTGCGTTCTTGCTCGGGCGAAATAGACATCCCAATCATTCTCTTCGGAAATGATCCAAATGTACAAATTTTGATCGATAATGAGACGGGCAGGGCCTATTTTAACGTGCCTACAGACACGGACGTGCCTCGAAATGAAAAATCCGTGCTTGGAGAATCTAAAATTCATGCGTTGAAAAGATGGTATAATGGTATGTTATGTATCCTTGTGAATCTGAAAAGATCGCATGAGGAAATTTAGCAAGTGTGTCCTTAACAATCATTGTGATCATCAATCAATGCGTTTGGTTTCGATTCAATTTCGTGGATTGTATGTAAATGTCAAAAAATAAAGCAGTTGTTGACGCAAGTTATAGTAAAGGTTCGTCTGCTTTTGGGCGTTTCTTTGGACTGCCAATGATACCGATACGCAGCTATAAATACAAATGTCAATAGTATGCAAATTTTAATTTAGGCCTCAATTTTTGACCGTTTTAGATGTTGAGGATCAAAAGATCTTGGTTGAATTCGATTTTGGCGCATCTGCTTGGATTATGCACAGAGCGTAACAAAGTTTGTGAGCTTTATATTGTGATGAATTGAGAACACGGGAGCAAGAATCATACCGATAATCAGCATTCCGCGACCTTCTGTTCCGGATTTACCCCCGGGAAAACCTTGTGGAAGCGACAGGGACTTGCGTTTTAACCGTGTTTTATTTTTTCACATTTGATGTGAAGCATTGGGGTCATGAGACGACAAACCCCATCGAGTTACCAAACTTTGCCAAAAACCTTGTGAACGCGATATAGGCTACAGTTTCATATTCGATGTGTAGCATTGGGACAATGAGAGGTTGAGCCCTATCGATTTTCCCTGTTCCCTATCCATATCTTACAGAATCTTGGCGTATCGTGTATGCCAACCGCTTGTTTTGTTTTAAAAGTGTAAGCGTGGTGATAATTCAGGAAGTTTTTATTTCACTTCTGGTGCTTTGTTTTGGTCACAACTAATTTGGTCACGATTTCAGAAGGTTTATTCCAACACATTAGAGCTAATAACGATGATGGAAGAAGCTAAATTGAGCTACCAAGTTCTGTGTGGAAAATCGTGAGTCATGTTTTGGAAATTTTGGCGGAAACCAAAGGGGGGAAACCCAGTCAAAAAACTTCCATCTCCGGAAACCGTGCTTCGTCAATAAAACCTTAAAATAGGCCCTGATCAGACGGGCAAAGGTAGAAAATATCGCGAAAGACGACTTACATCAGCGGGTGACGCTAGAAAAAAGATTTTCTGGGTGAAAAAATAACAGATCTTTCTTTATTATCACCTTGCCGTATACGTGGTCTTTTGCTGCATGGCTGGAATGAAGATTTACAATGTGAATTGGTTTCTGAAGCATATCCAAAGGATATGCGAGCTGTTGAAAGCAACCAAGAAATTATTTATCTCGCTCATATGAACTTTTGATTTTGAATCTTCTGATGAAGACAAAGAATAAACTAACAACTAAACATATCTCTGAGTTAATGTGTTTTTGATTTACATTTCCAGATCTCTTGAAAAGTACCATTATAATTTAATACTTTGAATGAAAACGCTAACGAGATACCACTTTAAGCTCAATTATGAACGAAATGATTTGGCACCCGCCATCACCCGCACCGCCCCCCCCCACCCACACGGCGGGCACCCACCCCGGCGTCCACCCCCATACAATAGGAATCTTATAAACATATTTAGAGATGTTTCATCAAGCTCTTAGAAAATCATCATTTAAATCAACGTGAACTCATTTCCCGCCAATTTTATCCCCACCCCACCCCTCCTCACGCGCACACCTGCTACGCCCACCCCACCTCCCCATAAATCAAAACAGTTGTCCAGGGGCATCATAAACACTTATTTATAGATGGGCAGTCCTAGAAATTTATGTTTTATTAATATATTATGTCAACATAATGACATCCCCCCCTACCCCCATTGTAGACATTTGACCCCCTTTATCTGGAAAACGCCCCCTCAAACGCCTGATCACCACTCAGATACGGAATCTACGCAAAAAACTGGTCTAGAAAAACTTGGTCTCAGAAATTCACAGCTCGGGTGGCGATTCCCCCCCCCCCTTCAGCCACCGGACTATAATGGACGAGCGCTCATATGTCAATGACAGGCACAGTGGATTCAGTAAATACGAAGACAATAGGAATTTATACAATTTTTATTTTATTTTTGTATATTCTTATTCAACCGACAAGCTTGAGAACTCTGGAATTATAAAAAAAATATAGGCACTTTTATTTATTTATTGTTCACTTTAATAATGTACATATGGACTATTACGAGAAGATAAACAATATAAAAAAAACTGAATATAATTTGAAACATTTTAAAAAATAAACTTACTTCCCGAATTACCCATTTTAAAAAAAGGAATCTGTTATTTAGCCCGTACAGCAAGTTTTACACAACATACTTACTCGGAACATGCAGGTCCGCACAGGAAACCGACCACAGAGAAGGCAGCATGGCAAGCTAAACTACAGGCTTCCTTTGTTGCGCCAGAATGGAGTACACTTTCCAAATGGCTGATGACGGTTTTCAGAGATGGGACTATAGAAATAATGGTTAAAAAAATTCATACATTTTGTGTTCTGCATATTATTCATCATGCACACAACAATAGACAGCACCATACGTTTAAGTTAGAACGATTAACGTTTTACATGGCTGTTCAGTTAAATTAAAGTCTAGAACGCTATCTTTTGGATTTGGGTGAAAATCGAAAAAAAAAACAAAACATGATACGTAACATAAGCCTTATCTTTTAGTAATTGCTTCACTAAAATATACTTACGATGAATGAATCTTTCTTCCCTTGGCATGGCAATAGCCACAGTCAAACAACAGATAGCCAGAATAATCAGAGTTCTCATTTTCTGTAGAAAAAACCCCAACATATCCTGTGTTATATAATGTCTATAAAGCAATGCACACGTATGGGAGATTTACAGATATTTTAAAAAAAATAACTGCTGTATGTAATTTCTATGTAGTAAAAAACTCACCAATTCTCCAAAATGTACCTTTTGGGTTTTTTTAATGGTAAGAGATGAAATAAGACTGGACGATTGAATCTCAAAGCCACATTAATTTGCATTCGTTTTAAAAAGATGGGCTATGTACTTACCGCTTGTGTTCTTCTACAAAGACGAGTTGACTAACTGAAGAATGTCTAATCTTTTCTGTCTTTTATAACCTTTTTTATATAATACTGACACAATTATAATCTGATTATATAGCTTTAAATATCACGAAGCACTATCTATAAATACACAAGTACTATGTACTACATATTAAAATGCCAATCTCCTGAGCGCAGCCGGCCACACAATTTTACGTTATTATTTTTTTTATGGAAAAACAGCTACTTATTTTTATGCACCAACATCAATATTTGCCGTTCTTCGTGTATAAGGAATAAGTATACAAAGTTCCAAGATAATCCATTCAGAATTATCCAAAAATTGGGCGTGGCACAAAGAAAAATGGGTGAGGCTCTGCCCCTGGGGGTTGGGCAATCACCAAAAACAATAGGGGTCATCCTTAGGGTATAAGGAAATAAAGGAATAGGTATGCAACGTTTCAAAAGGATCTGTCAAGAATCGCGGCCTCTAGGCAAAACACAAGACACACACAAATATTGGAGGTGGCTCTGTCCGAGGGGGTCGGGGATGCACCAAAATATCAGCCTTAGGGTATAAAGAATAAGTATGAACAGTTTCAAGCCGATCGATTAGGAACTGTGGCCTGTAAGTGATACACAGGCACACACAAAAAAAATGGGCGTGGCTCTTCCCCTGTGGACTGGGCATTCACCACAAACAATAGGGATGTTCCTTAGGGTAGAAGGAATAAGTATGCAAAGTTTCCAGATGGTATGTTAAGAAATGGGCCTGTAGATGACAAACAAATACAAGAAATGGGCACGGCTCTGCCACTAGGGGTCGGGCATGCACCAAAAACAATACGGGTCATCCTTAGGGCAAAAGGAATAAATATGAAAATTGTTCACGACCATCGATTAAGAATTGTGGCCTGTTTTTTAAGTATCAAAGGATCTCTTATGATGCGCATAGGACCTTCCGTTCCAGAGTTATGGCCCCTTTCCGAAGGGAACGCGAGAGAGACTATAGATTTGGACATCAAGTTTCATCACTCTTACTCAATTAGAAATCAGAGTTATTGCTCCCCAATTACATGAACAGAAAATGCCCATTAGTCAAAATATTGGTGCAATGAACTGGGTATTGGTGTCAAGAAACTAAACTAAACACCGAGATTCACACTAGCACTCAATTCAACCAATTAAATTGCTTATCTCTGCTTAGCCTAAGCAGAAAATGTTCCATCAAGGTATTTACCTAATAAACACCTATCCTGTCTCAATTTGAAGCAGAGGTATTGTGTCACCTGTTTTCTTCGAAAGGCGGGGACAATAGCACTATGTAAACCATGAGGTGTGCATTTAATCGATTTTTATATATTGTTCCATAAAATTACTAAAACATAATCATGCTATACAACAGGGCGGGATTGAGCCTGTATGGGGCTCTTGGCTGAAAATGTCACAGGGGCCTTTTCATCAACAGTGAAAAGGGGGCATAATTATTCTGGTCATATTGTCCGTCACACTCACACACATGGAATGTGTATGTTAGTATGATAGATATATATATTTATTTGACAGAAGCAAATCCAACATAATGAATAAAATCATAAACAAAAATTTAAAACTAATTTTGTTGGCCCTTTAATGCTGCAGCCCGGTCAGCCCACGCCCCACCCCCTTAATCAGGGCCTGCTATGCAGTATAAACTTTAACAGTAAAAAACATATTTAATGTGTGTAAGTACAAAACTAAAAGTTTGCCTTGAATTTAAAGCAAGGAAATTCCGAGACTTTAAAGTAGGACCAACTCCCAGATTGCCTCATTTATAGAATTTAATATAATCACCAATTTAATTGATCGGCTACTTTCTATGGAAGACCAAACAGCTCTTTATATAGTGTTCTTAATTCTTAGTTCTTAATTCATAGTCCTTAAATCTTATTTCTTCATTTGTTGTTGTATTTCAACCTTTGTGCACTAAAATTAACATTTGTATCTTAAAATCATTATTTGTTTTACAAATTAGACATTTGTCATATCAGATTTGTAAAATGTATTTTTGTTTAATCTAATTTTATTTTAATATAAATACAAAATTTATTTTAGTAAATCAAAAAAAATCATCTACATTTACATTGCATCATAGACATACAACGAAAAACAAATCTCGAACAACAAATTTCTAAATGCAAATCTTGCAAAACATTTCTCCAAAAACATTTCTTCAGTAACATTTCTCAAAAAACATTTCTTCAGTAACATTTCTTCAGTAACATTTCTCCAAGAACATTTCTCGAAATTCATCGAACCGGAACATTATGACGACATGAGCGGAAATCAACCTGGCATACAATAAATCACCATACAACAAAGGAAAATCGAGCAAACGTATATAAGAAATATCGCTCGATGGCCGTAACTTTAATTTCGAAAATTGCCTCGATTTTCGAGCCGAAAGAACCCGGTAGATGAGCACCTAAAATTCTGAAACTTGTTGTAATTATAGTTTGTACTAGTGTCTCCAGCATATGTTAAAGCCATTCTTGTCCCATGCCATCTCGACATTTTTGCGATTTTTTTTATGAAAATGTGTGGTTTGGGTCATTCCATGTCAATTATCACCAATGAGTTAAACCGTACCCACTTTGATTTTGCTGAAATATGGGTTATGTGTTTTTTTAGGGCTGAAAAACTTGATATTCCGAATTTTAGCTTCCGACTAATGGTTCCTGAGATACGGTCTACCAAATTTTGGGGATTTCGGCCACAATGGGCGTGGCCATTATTATTCAACACATCATAACCCAGTCACCGATAGGTCAAAATTGCTGGAGTAAGTATTTCTGGAATGGGAAAGAGGGTGTCTTGCTGTTTGAATCATAGTTATCTATCTTTAGGAAAGTCTGCGGCAGGTTACTATGTATCATCAGAGCTTATCCATGAACATAGTCCGCATATCGAGACAATCATAGTTGTGAAACTGAACTAGTCAGAGTGAGTAATGACTTATTGCGTGGTATGGACAACAAGTGTCTCATATTGTTTGTTTTGCTTGATCTATCTGCAGCATTCGACACTATGCTGCAAAGCTTATTCAGTCATACTTATCTAATCGTTATCAGATTGTATGTGTAGATAATGTTAAATCAAATCCAGCCTAAGTAAAATTTGGTGTTCCCCAAGGATCGGTTTTGGGACCAATTCTGTTTACTATCTATACCTCTCCCCTTGGTGAAATCATCTATCAACTCTATCTAATAGGACCACCATATGATATTCCAGACAAACAACAGCCATCGGAACGCTGCATTGAGAGCACCATAGTATGGATGACTGCAAACTTTCTTAAATTGAACTCTGGCAAAACAGGGTACATGACCATTTGCTCAAAATCATTAGTTTCATCATTAGATAGTCACCACATTCATGCTGGAATTGATCACATCAGCCCTGTTTAATCTGCCAGAAGTTTGGGTGTTATGTTTAACACTACCATGGATATGTCCAAACAAGTTGCAGCGGTATCAAAGGCAGGTAACTTCCAGCTTTTCAACATTGGTCGTGTACGAAAATACTTACATACAGATTCAACTAAACTGTTAGTGAACTCTTTAATCACGTCTAGGTTGGACTATTGTAATTCATTACTTTACGGACTTCCAGCTTCTTCTCTTCGCTCACTACAAAAGATACAAAACACTGCTGCACGTCTGATCACCAGAACAAGACTACGCGACCACATTACGCCTGTGCTCACATCCCTCCACTGGCTCCCCATAAACAGACGTATTCAATGTAAGATAATCCTCCTCACTTACAAGTGCATCCATGGTTTAGCTCCTAACTACCTGAGTGATCTTATACAAATCAAAAGTGGAGAAAGAACAACTCGGTCAACATCAAAACACGACCTTGTTGTTCCAAAAACTTTGAAAGTGTTATGTGGTGATAGGGCATTTTCAGTGGCAGCACCCATCCAATGGAATAAACTCCCAGCAACATTAAAGGAAGCCAGAACATTAAAGGATACCAAACGTGACAGTGCAGTTCAGCGTCATCGATTAGAACAGTTCTAGATGAGAGGCGCTATACAAATTCATTGATTTTCAGCCTCGAGTGTGAACATATAAGTTGATTTTGCATGTTAATAAAAGATATTGTACCCCCAGTTATTTGATATTGTGTAGAAAACATGTTGAGCGAAATTTTTCATGAAAGTTCCTCTCAATGTCACATGGTCTATAAGGTCAAATTCAAAGTCAAAAGGTTTTCACTCTTTAAAACAAACCTGGGTGTCAAATATGTGTAGATTTATAATCCTTGTGGAATTCCCAGTCCAGAAATACTCATTCCAGCAATTTTGACTTATCGGTTACTGGGTTATAATCATTTGAGTAATGGCGGCCACGCCCATTTTGGCCGAAATCCCCCAAATTGGGTGGACCGTATCTCAGGAAATGTTAGTCGGATCAAGCTAAAATTAGAAATAATAGCTTTTTCAGCCATAATAAACATATAAACAAAATTTCAGCAAAATCGAAGGGGGTGCGTTTTAACTCATTGGGTGATAATTGACATGGAATGACCCAAAACACAGATTTTGAAAAAATTGAAAAAATATTGAGATGGCATGGGACAAGAATGGTTTTAAATGTTAGAGACATTAGTACAAACTATAATTCCACCAACTTTCAGATTTGTAGGTGCCCATCTACCGGATTCAATCGACTGGAAAATATGATGATTGACATAGATAGTAGACCGAAGACACAGATTTTGAAAAAATATCTAGACGTCATGGGGCAAGAATGACTTTAACATATTTTGAAGACATTAGTACAAACTATAATCACACAAAGTTTCCGATTTTTAGGGGCTCATCTACCGGATTCTATCGGCTTAAAAATACGAGACAATTTTTCGAAAATGTGTGTCTAAAAGCATATTCGAGGCCAGTTGTCTGGGAATCTAGTGAAGACTGGTGCGTTTTCATATGTTTCTTATATAGTATTACCGGCAATCTCTGTACAGGCGAAGATTTGACTCGATATCAATTACTTTGTAGCTCCTGGAGCACTACAAAATCCTAAAAAT